TGAGCTCGGAAGCGAATAGGCAGCCAGTGAAGGTCTTTTAAGATCGGTTTTATGTGGTCTGACCTGGAACTACCAGCGACCAGTCTAACTGCCATATTCTGCACCAATTGCAGCTTCCGGGTTTGGTACAAGGGTTGCCCCATGTAGCAACCCTTATTTATTTATTTATTACTGCCCAAAATACTAGGCTGCAAATTAGAAACTCCTTAATTCAAATGCTGCCTGGGTGGCGTTCTGTATTATAGTTGCAGATTCATAACCTAGAGATATAGATCTGTAACTGCTCCATATTCAGTAACACTATGTAGACACAATTGTCACACTATTGCCACAATTGTAAGTGCTCCCTTCAGCCCATCTTAACATCTAGCAGCTGCATCAGGCAAAAGAGATCTGTTCAACTGCCGATCAGAAAGATTGAGGAGAATGTTTCCAGCCATCTCCCACCAGCAAGTGAAGCAGTGACAATGAGAAGCAGGACTACATCACAATTTATCATTGCAACCTTGCTTACTGGCAGGAAGGAATTGGAAATGTCACCCTCATTGCAAACTTATTAGCAGCTAAACAGATCTCCTTCTCATAGTGCAGCTGCTGACTGTTAAGGCAGATTTGGGAGGTAGCTGGTAGATATTACTAAGGGTCGATGCAGACGGCCAAGTTGGGGCGGCTCTGAGCCACCCCTGGGAGTGGCAGATCGGGGCCGCAGTAACTACACTCCTTTTTTCTGTCCAAAAAGAGTGGCAAAATGCTACTCCTTTTGGGGGCAGCAAAAGGCCATCCTTAGAGCCACTGCTGCAGCTCTTTTGCGCTCCTTTGGAGCAGTATGTGCACACATTGCACCAAGAGGGCACCCTGACATTGCGTGCCATGCGAACGAGCACGGGGTGTCAGGGAAGACTCGGGGCAGCCAGTGTGCAATTGCCCTGCCCCAACTCCACCACCAGGCCAGCCTAAACTGCGGTCTGCATCAGCCCTTTGGGCCTTTACAGACTGCCAGAAATAGTGCAAATTGAGTCCACTTTAAGGCTTAGGGTTAGTTCTAGGGAGTCATGGGAATTGTTTTTTTCTGAGACATTGAGCCTTCTCTATCAGAGAGCTCTGGTGCCACAATAAAATACAGTTCCCATGATTCCCTAACCCTAACCCTAACCTTTAAAGTGGACTCAATTTGCATTATTTAGGCATTTTATATCTAAGCAATTGATGTAGGATATTGGTGTCTATTATGGATTTAGCCTAATGCAAGCCGCCTCCTTCTCAATGTTAGTAACAGATTGAGTCTCCCTTATCTGAAATGCCTGGGGCTAGAAGTGCTTTGGATTATTTATTTATTTATTTGGAATTTGGAATACCTGTGTTTGCATGTATGTACATCATAGATATCTTGGAGCTAGGACCCAAGTCTAAACCCAAAATTTATTTTATCATATACCTATACCTTATACATTTGTTGTTGTGTGCCTTCAAGTCATTTATAACTTATGGCCCCAAACCTAAGGCAAACCTTTCATGGCATTTTCTTGGCAAGTTTCTTCAGAGGGGCTTTGCCATTGTCATCCTCTGAGGATGAGAGAGTGTGTCAGCCAATGGGTTTCTATGGCCAAGCCGGGATTCAAACCCTGGCCTTCAGAGTCGTAGTCTAATGCTCAAACCACAACACAACACTGACTCTTATACACATAGTCTGAAGATAATTTTATACATAATATTTTTAATAATTTTGTGCATGAAACAAAGTTTGTACATTGAACTATCAGAAAGCAAAGATATCACTACCTCACCCATGAAAAGCATTTTGAGTTTTGGAGTATTTTGGATTTTAGAATTCTGGGTAAGGAAGACTGAACTTGTACTCTCATCTACAACATGGGTGACAAGTGGTAATAATACCAACTTACCTTACAATGTTTTTGTAAAAGTTAAAATATGTGCAAAGGAAGATATGTGGTCCAAAAGTCTCAGTTTTGTGGGAAGGAGGGGAGTTGGCTCATATCTGTGGAAAGTCTATTATAGACCTGTAGAAGCAGATCTAAAAAGCATCAATGGAAACATCCAATGTTCTAAGAAGAGCCAAACCTGTAATCATATATCCCTTAAACATGAGCAAATCAATTGAACATAAAGCTCTTCCAGACTGGTTTAAAGATGTGTGAGTTCTCATAATATATTTGCTTGAGTTTTGCTGCGTTCTGACAGTTGTTGTTGCCTCTTAAGTCCGCTCATTCTATTTTTATGGATTTTGGTATAATTTCTTGGATTTGTGCTAGAACTCTTCCAAAAGGTGTTTAAGAACTGATGTAGGACGTTATCACACATGGGCCAGTTTTGTTGTTAAAGAGATTGCTGTTAAAGTGGAAATGGAGCATCCCAAAAAGAAAGCAAAAATAGGGCTTAATTACGCAAAAGCTTTTCACATGTAATTACAGTAATAACGGAATTAAGTTACAAGCGAAAAAAAGATGTTTTTGACTTTCATACACAAGTGAAAAAAACCCGTACATGTACTAGAAATGGGTGTCTTTTGTGACGAGACTCCTCCTTTTCCAGGGCAGAAAATGTCAAACTGTCCTCCATTTGGAGCAGGAGTAAGAAGCATGA